CTACATGGGGACAGCACGACAACATTTATATCAATGTCTTCAGGTCAGTACAACAGCCCCTACATGGGGACAGCACGACAACATTTATATCAATGTCTTCAGGTCAGTACAACAGCCCCTACATGGGGACAGCACGACAACATTTATATCAATGGCTACAGGTCAGTATATAACAGCCCCTACATGGGGACAGCAGTAAATAACAGGTGTCAGCTACTCTGTACATAACAAGTGGCACCTAATCTGTACATAACATGTGTCACCTACTGCGTACATAACAGGTGTCACCTACTCTGTACATAACAGGTGTCACCTACTCTATACATAACAGGTGTCACCTACTCCGTACATAACAGGTGTCACCTACCCTGTACATAACAATTGTCACCTACTCTGTACATAACAAGTGTCACCTACTCTGTATATAACAGGTGTCACCTACTCCGTACATAACAGGTGTCACCTACTCCGTACATAACAGGTGTCACCTACTCCGTACATAACAGGTGTCACCTACTCTGTACATAACAGGTGTCACCTACTCTATACATAACAGGTGTCACCTACTCCGTACATAACAGGTGTCACCTACTCTGTACATAACAGGTGTCACCTACTCTATACATAACAGGTGTCACCTACTCTATACATAACAGGTGTCACCTACTCCGTACATAACAGGTGTCACCTAATATGTACATAACAGGTGTCACCTACCCTGTACATAACAGGTGTCACCTACTATATACAAAAAAGGTGTCACCTTCTCTGTACATAACAGGTGTCACCTACCCTGTACATAACAAGTGTCACCTACTCTGTACAAAACAGGTGTCACCTAACCTGTACATAACAGGTGTCACCTACTATGTACAAAACAGGTGTCACCTACTCTGTACATAACAGGTGTCACCTACCCTGTACATAACAATTGTCACCTACTATGTACAAAACAGGTGTCACCTACTCCGTACATAACAGGTGTCATCTACTCCGTACATAACAGGTGTCACCTACTCTGTACATAACAGGTGTCACCTACTCTATACATAACAGGTGTCACCTACTCTATACATAACAGGTGTCACCTACTCTGTACATAACAGGTGTCACCTACTCTGTACATAACAGTTGTCCCCTACTATGTACAAAACAGGTGTCACCTACTCCGTACATAACAGGTGTCATCTACTCCGTACATAACAGGTGTCACCTACTCTGTACATAACAGGTGTCACCTACTCTATACATAACAGGTGTCACCTACTCTATACATAACAGGTGTCACCTACTCTGTACATAACAGGTGTCACCTACTCTGTACATAACAAGTGTCACCTACTCAGTACATAACAGGTGTCACCTACCCTGTACATAACTATTGTCACCTACTATGTACAAAATAGGTGTCACCTACTCCGTACATAACAGGTGTCACCTACTCCGTACATAACAGGTGTCACCTACCCTGTACATAACAATTGTCACCTACTATGTACAAAACAGGTGTCACCTACTCCGTACATAACAGGTGTCACCTACTCTGTACATAACAAGTGTCACCTCCTCCGTACATAACAGGTGTCACCTACTCTGTACATAACAGGTGTCCCCTACTCTATACATAACAGGTGTCACCTACTCCGTACATAACAAGTGTCACCTACTCCGTACATAACAGGTGTCACCTGATATGTACATAAAAGGTGTCACCTACCCTGTACATAACAGGTGTCCCCTACTCCGTACGTAACATGTGTCCCCTACTCCGTACACAACAGGTGTCATCTACTCCGTACATAACAGGTGTCGCCTACCCTGTACATAACAGGTGTCACCTACTATATACAAAAAGGGTGTCACCTTCTCTGTACATAACAGGTGTCACCTACCCTGTACATAACAGGTGTCACCTACTCCGTACATAACAGGGGTCACCTGATATGTACATAACAGGTGTCACCTACCCTGTACATAACAGGTGTCACATACTATGTACAAAACAGGTGTCACCTACTCTGTACATAACAGGTGTCACCTACCCTGTGCATAACAATTGTCACCTACTATGTACAAAACAGATGTCACCTACCTGTACATAACAGATGTCACCTACTCCTTACATAACAGGTGTCACCTACCCTGTACATAACAGGTGTCACCTACTCCGTACGTAACATGTGTCACCTACTCCGTACACAACAGGTGTCATCTACTCCGTACATAACAGGTGTCGCCTACCCTGTACATAACAGGTGTCACCTACTCTGTACATAACAGGTGTCACCTACCCTGTGCATAACAGGTGTCACCTACTCCGTACATAACAGGTGTCACCTACCCTGTATATAACAGGTGTCACCTAACCGTTACGTCAAAGGTGGCACCTACACTGTGCATATAAGAGCTGCAACGATATATCGCGATAGTTTGAATACGGTACGATACACAATTTTTTTGGGAGGTCATGATACACCTACGATGTTTTCCGGAATTTGTCTTTTCTGAATTTAGTCTACTCACATCCGTTCCACCAGGCAACAAGAGTCTGGTTGAACGAGACTAGACAAGTGACAGCTTCAGCTCGGCATGCACGTCGAGAGACATGAATTGTATGAAACTTTAAAGGCATGCCTATAATGGACCATATCTATTTCCTGTTGTAATATTGCCATTAAAAAACTACAACATAACTTTTTTCTTTCCTTTTACTGTTACTAAATGTATCGTGATACGTATCGTATCGTCATGTAAATGTATCGTGATACGTATCGTATCGTCATGTAAATGTATCGTGAAACGTATCGTACCGTCATGTAAATGTATCGTGATACGTATCCTATCGTCATGTAAATGTATCGTGATACGTATCGTATCGTCATGTAAATGTATCGTGATACGTATCTTATCGTCATGTAAACGTATCGTGATACGTATCGTATCGTCATGTAAATGTATCGTGATACGTATCTTGTCGTCATGTAAATATATCGTGATACGTATCGTATCGTCATGTAAATGTACAGCTGCAGCCATAGTGCATACAGTGAAACTCTTCGCACAAACAACACTTTAACATAAACCAAGTGTATACATGTAGTTACCTTTCAGAGACGTTATCAGGTCGTCGTATTTACGTTGATATTCCCAATCCGACATAACAAGGTGACTGATCTCGGTGATGACGTGACCAGGGATGATCTGCGGAGACCTGCTGCCCTTGTTTACGTCAGCAGCCACTTGTTGATAGGTAGTACATGTCATCAGAAGAATCACCAACACTAGTACCCACCCCATGTTATTACTGTTGGGTTATATAAAACTAGCGAACAGTTCTGTTGCATAAAGTTCTCCGCAATGAACTCGTTTTCTGATACTGATTATAGAACAGAGATGTGATTCTACGAATACATGACGAGTCATCGGCAATAGTGTCCTTACGTCACACCAGTAAAACACAGTGTCCTTACGTCACACCAGTAGAACACAGTGTCCTTACGTCACACCAGTAAAACACAGTGTCCTTACATCACACCAGTAAAACACAGTGTCCTTACATCAAACCAGTAAAACACAGTGTCCTTACATCAAACCAGTAAAACACAGTGTCCTTTGTGGTCCAACTACAGGGAAATTATTAAAGCGTAACATGTACAAGTGGATTTATAATAGGAGTATGATATAGGCAGTAGGAAAAGGAAAATATTTATATTTTAAATAAAGACATAAGATTTCACCACTGTCGGTTTTACGGAACACGGCTACATTGACTGGTCTAGATTCTGTATAACGAGTTTCCTATTGACGGGTACATTGACTGGTCTAGATTCTGTATAACGAGTTTCTGATAAACGGATACATTGACTGGTCTAGATTCTGTATAACGAGTTTCTGATAAACGGATACATTGACTGGTCTATTCTGTATAACGAGTTTCCGATAAACGGGTACAATGACTTGACTAGATTCTGTATAACGAGTCTCCGATAAACGGGTACAAAAACTGGAATAGATTCTGTATAACGAGTCTCCGATAAACTGGTACAAAAACTGGTCTATTCTGTGTAACGAGTTTCCGTTTAACGGGTACAATGACTGGTCTATTCTGTATAACGAGTTTCTGATTAACGGGTACAATGACTGGTTTATTTTGTATAACGAGTCTCCGATAAACGGATACATTGACTGGTCTATTCTGTATAACGAGTTTCTGATAGACGGGTACAAAGACTGGTCTAGATTATGTATAACGAGTTTCTGATAGACGGATACATTGACTGGTCTATTCTGTATAACGAGTTTATGATAGACGGGTACAAAGACTGGTCTAGATTCTGTATAACGAGTCTCCGATAAACGGATACATTGACTGGTCTATTCTGTATAACGAGTTTCTGATAAACGGGTACAATGACTTGACTAGATTCTGTATAACGAGTTTCTGATTAACGGGTACAATGACTGGTCTATTCTGTATAACGAGTTTCTGATAAACGGGTACAATGACTTGACTAGATTCTGTATAACGAGTCTCCGATAAACGGGTACAAAAACTGGTCTATTCTGTATAACGAGTTTCCGATTAACGGGTACAATGAATGAACTAGATTCTGTATAACGAGTCTCCGATTAACGGGTACAATGACTGGTCTATTCTGTGTAACGAGTTTCCGATTAACGGGTACAATGACTGGTCTATTGTGTATAACGAGTCTCCGATTAACGGGTACAAAGACTGGTCTATTCTGTGTAACGAATTTCCGTTTAACGGGTACAACGACTGGTTTATTCTGTGTAACGAGTTTATGATTAACGGATACAATGACTGGACTAGATTCTGTATAACGAGTTTCTGATTAACGGATACAATGACTGGTCTATTCGTTATAACGAGTTTCTGATAAACGGGTACAATGACTGGTCTATTCTGTGTAACGAGTTTATGATTAACGGATACAATGACTGGTCTATTTGTTATAACGAGTCTCCGATAAACGGGTACAATGACTGGTCTATTCGTTATAACGAATTTCCGTTTAACGGGTACAATGACTGGACTAGATTCTGTATAACGAGTTTATGATTAACGGATACAATGACTGGTCTATTCGTTATAGCGAGTCTCCGATAAACGGATACAATGTCTGGTCTATTCGTTAAAACGAGTCTCCGATAAACGGGTAGAATGACTGGTCTATTGGTTATAACGAGTCTCCTATAAACGGATACAATGGCTGGTCTATTCGTTATAACCAGTCTCCGATAAACGGGTAGAATGACTGGTCTATTGGTTATAACGAGTCTCCGATAAACGGATACAATGACTGGTCTATTCTGTATAACGAGTTTATGATTAACGGATACAATGACTGGTCTATTCTGTATAACGAGTTTCAGATTAACGGGTACAATGACTGGTCTATTCTGTATAACGAGTTTCAGATTAACGGGTACAATGACTGGTCTATTCTGTATAACGAGTTTCCGATTAACGGGTACAATGATGATACGGATTAAAGAGTATCAGAGTTCGAGGCAACAATTAGTGACTGGTTTTTCATTCTTTATAAATTGATATCTCTCTCTCTCTTCTCCAGCCTAGTAAACTCTGAATTCGTATAAAATAGCGTATACGCAGCGGAAAAAAGGCTCGGGGGATTGATACTTGTTTTATACAGGGTGCCTGGTTCCTTCAAGGTCTGGAAACATGGAGCATATTTGGGATCCATTATGTCTAACTATGCAATAAAGGGGTGCTGAAAAACTTTTTATTCTATTGATTTACCTCCAAATTTCTTTGACGGGAAAATAGTAGACCGCGTCACTATCAGAGCAGTGTGTCAATGCGCGTACATAACGACCGATATAAATGTTCAAAGGGCCACTCAGGAATGACAAGGGAAAATGTAGTGTTGTTCACTAAGATTTTTTTTTAATTTACTTATTAATCGATAGAGATTCACTGGAACTATATTATACTAGCAACCATTGCTACCTCAGGTACCATCGTAGCAACTCGACGGTATTTTCTTCATACAGCGTTTAAACATTTTTTTATGATGTAAATATAAGGTTTGACGATCATTTTCACGTCGTATACGTTATTATGAACGTAATTAGCAAAGAACATGTTCTTTAAGGAACGACAAGGCGTAACATAAAATTATGTTCGTTGCCAACTACGTACATACTACTTATACTCCGTCATAATACAGTTGTCTGGGATAAATATATTATAGATACATCCGGATTGTTTGTTTGTGACAAATATCTTTGTAGCTATATCCGGATTGATTTGTTTGTGATAAATATCTTTGTAGCGACATCCGGATTGATTTGTTTGTGATAAATATCTTTGTAGCTACATCCGGATTGATTTATTGAGATAAATATGCAAGACCACACACTTGTGTTTTTCTAACGAATCATAAAGCATTAAATAGTTCCTCGTGTGTACGGATACAGATTGGGTAACGGTTTCCTGAGGCGAGGACTAGAGATTAAGGATTGTGATGTATACTAGTAGGCATCATCACGTCATAGCCGAACTTCCAGGCATTCACGCTACTTAGACGAGCTCTCAGACGGTTTAACCTGCTGCTTCCGTGAACAACAAATGAAGTCGTATCACCCCACACATTCCCAAACCTTTTACCTATGTCCTATTGGAAAAGCAAAGCCCTGAACAAGCAAAACAAACACGCAAAGCCCTGTATAGTTTGTTTATATCTCTGAGAAACAATGACTAGTGACATAGTTTACCATTTTCTTAACGTCTTTGTGTTTTAACTATCGATATCAAATCATTGTCCTTAAAAAGTCATGAAATGAAATAGTTGAACCCGAAAAATAATTGCAAAATACTCCAAAACTGATATAATCACTTTGGCACGGAGAAATTCGATTGTAGCGACATGGCGCGGTACATGTGTTTCGGGAGATAGGGGGAGCTGTCTCAGGGCTTGTCACACACTACCGAGATAGGGGGAGCTGTCTAAGGGCTTGTCACACACTACCGAGATAGGGGGAGCTGTCTAAGGGCTTGTCACACACTACCGAGATAGGGGGAGCTGTCTAAGGGCTTGTCACACACTACCGAGATAGGGGGAGCTGTCTAAGGGCTTGTCACACACTACCGAGATAGGGGGAGCTGTCTAAGGGCTTGTCACACACTACCGAGATAGGGGGAGCTGTCTAAGGGCTTGTCACACACTACCGAGATAGGGGGAGCTGTCTAAGGGCTTGTCACACACTACCGAGATAGGGGGAGCTGTCTAAGGGCTTGTCACACACTACCGAGATAGGGGGAGCTGTCTAAGGGCTTGTCACACACTACCGAGATAGGGGGAGCTGTCTAAGGGCTTGTCACACACTACCGAGATAGGGGGAGCTGTCTAAGGGCTTGTCACACACTACCGAGATAGGGGGAGCTGTCTAAGGGCTTGTCACACACTACCGAGATAGGGGGAGCTGTCTAAGGGCTTGTCACACACTACCGAGATAGGGGGAGCTGTCTAAGGGCTTGTCACACACTACCGAGATAGGGGGAGCTGTCTAAGGGCTTGTCACACACTACCGAGATAGGGGGAGCTGTCTAAGGGCTTGTCACACACTACCGAGATAGGGGGAGCTGTCTAAGGGCTTGTCACACACTACCGAGATAGGGGGAGCTGTCTAAGGGCTTGTCACACACTACCGAGATAGGGGGAGCTGTCTAAGGGCTTGTCACACACTACCGAGATAGGGGGAGCTGTCTAAGGGCTTGTCACACACTACCGAGATAGGGGGAGCTGTCTAAGGGCTTGTCACACACTACCGAGATAGGGGGAGCTGTCTAAGGGCTTGTCACACACTACCGAGATAGGGGGAGCTGTCTAAGGGCTTGTCACACACTACCGAGATAGGGGGAGCTGTCTAAGGGCTTGTCACACACTACCGAGATAGGGGGAGCTGTCTAAGGGCTTGTCACACACTACCGAGATAGGGGGAGCTGTCTAAGGGCTTGTCACACACTACCGAGATAGGGGGAGCTGTCTAAGGGCTTGTCACACACTACCGAGATAGGGGGAGCTGTCTAAGGGCTTGTCACACACTACCGAGATAGGGGGAGCTGTCTAAGGGCTTGTCACACACTACCGAGATAGGGGGAGCTGTCTAAGGGCTTGTCACACACTACCGAGATAGGGGGAGCTGTCTAAGGGCTTGTCACACACTACCGAGATAGGGGGAGCTGTCTAAGGGCTTGTCACACACTACCGAGATAGGGGGAGCTGTCTAAGGGCTTGTCACACACTACCGAGATAGGGGGAGCTGTCTAAGGGCTTGTCACACACTACCGAGATAGGGGGAGCTGTCTAAGGGCTTGTCACACACTACCGAGATAGGGGGAGCTGTCTAAGGGCTTGTCACACACTACCGAGATAGGGGGAGCTGTCTAAGGGCTTGTCACACACTACCGAGATAGGGGGAGCTGTCTAAGGGCTTGTCACACACTACCGAGATAGGGGGAGCTGTCTAAGGGCTTGTCACACACTACCGAGATAGGGGGAGCTGTCTAAGGGCTTGTCACACACTACCGAGATAGGGGGAGCTGTCTAAGGGCTTGTCACACACTACCG